TAATAATAAATGGATTTCAATTAATCATCTTTACAGTGAGTGCTTTTCTAGTATTGTTTTAAGTAAGTTGGCCCACCTTTTCATTAGAAGAATTTTAGATACAACAGGTCTACTGGAAAAAAGAAATATTATTCTGAAGAGTGGTGCTGCTATATTCTGAAAATGCAACAAGAGCTATTATCATAACTTTGTATTCAGCCTTGTTATAAATGACTCAGATTTAACTAAAGAGCTTTTTTCTGGGATTGCCCTTCTCCTTTAATGTGCATATATTTTAAAAAGTATTATGAAAAAATCCTACAGTGTAAATTTGACATAAATTTTAACCCTCCCCCCTTTTTTGGTAAATACTTATAGATCACATTCATATTCTGTAAACCCACTTATTCTAAGACATTGTTCTGTCAAATCCCAATAATGTTTCACTTTTTAATGTTAACCTTCCATTCAGAAGTGTGATGATACAGTCTACAGCTGTCTTGTTCATATCTAAGCAGGAAAATGAATATTGTCCAGCTCAGCAATGATAAATTAAAATAACATGTGCATACCATTCCCAATCAGTTTTCTTTGACAGAAACAATAATTTCACTCATGCATTCCAAGAAAATCTATGTTGATTGTATTTTGGGCCTACTTCTCTTAAAATGTCATGTACAAATATTTCTTTGTCAAGCCTGAACTAATGTATATAAAGAAAATATTGTAAAATTATATTTTCATGTTTTTATACCTACCAATATGATGAGAATGCATACTGTATTGGTATTTCAATCTTCAAATTACCAATAATGTTGATTGGATAGTACACATCTCATTTTTAAAACAAGTTAATCATAATATCCATGTTACAACACACCAGTATATATTGCTATATAAGTATTCTGTGTACATTTAAGTGGAAAAAATAGTGATGAATGATGACAGCTGTATTAAGGTTTTTTAAAGTTCATTTTATAGAGAACTCTTATGGAACAACCAAAATGTTTGTGGGCTAATTCTTGTATAAATTTCAAAATGTCCTTTATTGTACACTTTTGTTTATATGGTATGGTATTTTGATTTCTGCTTTGTTAATTGGGTATCAGTACAAAGCTGGTCATACACTTTTAAAGGCTTCTAAAGCCAGGATTATTTCTAATTTTTCATGTGTACTTATATATATAAAAATGCTTCTGATTTTATTTTTGAATCCAACACATGATGGCTTTTTTGAAGTGTTGTACAAATTTCAATCATATATAAACTTCATTCTTTTTTAAAAAAGGCAAATAATTATTAAGTGATTTATTTAGTATTATTTATATTATGCTTTGACTTTTCATAATTTTATTAAAGAATTAAAACTGCTACTAAAGGAGAGATACTTTATCTTGAAAGGAATGTTGGCTAGTGGCAAAAATAAGAGCTAATTTGGCAGAAAAAAAGTAGATTACTGTAAGCATTCTAACACATCAAATTAGTAGAAATGGAGTAAGAATTTGTCCAGATATTAAATGTGCTCTAGAAATATAGAAGAAAATGCCTGTAAATTGGACTAATAGATTAAGTAGAGCTTCACTTAGACAAAAATCCTATATAGTTTTTTTGTTAGTGGGGGTTTCTAAATGTTCAAAAATATTTCTGTTAGATTTACATATTTCAAACACACTATTTCAATTTACTTAACATTATAAAAAGATGTTTTGCCCTCAAATGAATAAAGGTGATGTCAGTTCCAGGAAGAAATTAGGATGCTATTAATCCAATTGAAAAAAATTGATATTGTTCATTCTTTCCCTCTTTCTACACATGGAAGCAAATATGCAACCAATGACATCTACAATTAGACAATTCTTCTGTTCAACAGGATATACAAGCAAGAGGCTTATATATCATATATATTTCCTATTGTTATTATCAAATTTAACCAACCAATATTTTGTAGTCAATGAAATTACTAATATATATAAATGTTTGGTCTATGTATAGAGTTCATACTAATAAGCTCTGAGACAAAGCTTGTGTAAATTTCAACTTCCCACTCAATTATTTCTGAACTTTAGAATATTCTCTAGCTAAATAATAAAATCCAGTAGCTCCTGTCAGGACTTGAATAAAACATTTTATTGCTTGAAGCAAAGCAGCACTACAGCCTTCAAGCACACACCATCATGGTATCAAGTATTTAACAGGCATTCATAATTCCCCCGCCAATGAAAAGACAGTAAGAATACATTTGCAAGCAACGTGTTGCTTTTTTATGCACCAAAAAGCTGATGCAATTGTTCTTTCAGCTTCCATCATGCTCCTGTTTCACATTCCACCCAGAAACAATTTCCTACAGAATATGAAACTCATCACTTCAGTTGGGCAAAGCAGTGATAGTGAAAAACCACTCATTCATAATTCTTAGATAGATCTTGTTAAACCTTTGCATACAACTTCTTTTGGTTATTTTAATCTTTTCCAATATGATGCTTCCTGTCTACATAATAAATTTCAACCTAAATTCAAGCTTCCAGCCAAAACTATTATTTGAACTAAGACTTGCCATAGCACATTTAGTGCTACTCTAGAATAAGCACATTAACATTTGCGCTCAACTTCAAGAAGATGAATTGTTTTGTTCCCATTAAAAATCAACAATTTTAAATACAAATATTCAAAAGTCCAGGCAATTATCAATGGATATTAATTAGATAACAGATAATCTAAATGTGACCAGAGGTTATTTAGTTGCAGGTGTGAACAAAAATTAGCCTGAGTCACAATCTACCAATGCTCTCTCTAAAGATATCATACAATGGGAGAAAGGTTAAAGAGCATTTGGTAGTCATGGCAACTTAAGAGTATAGATTTGGAGAAAGTTTATGAGAGTATTAATGCATGTGTTAGATAAAGTCAGAAAAAATTGTTTAAGAGAAAAAGAGTGAATATAAATTAAATTGAATAATGATTGTCATCATGAATAATGACAACTCACTAAGTATGAATGATTCTTTTGGAAACTGATAGAAAAATGAAAAATCTTGTAATCTTAACGTTAAGATAAAGTATACACATCATAAATAGACAGGGAAGGCCAATTTTATTGCATTAAAATGTAAGTTATAAGCACAGAAAATAGAATTCCTTTCTATTTTCCTTTCCTAATTGGAATTAGCAGAAGAAAGACAGCACAATTTTTATATGCTGCTCATGTTCTTTGGCTGTCTCAACTCAGTGAAGTGAGGTAGCTGGCTTAAAGGGGCCCTTCTCATTTGTGGGCCCGCTGAGAGAATGCCTTCCACACAGTGGGGTGCCTGGTGCTCAAGTTAATCTATTTTTAGCATCTGGAAAGACATTCATATTCTGTCTAGAATTTTTAGAGTTTTAAAGTCATTTGTTTTAAGTGCCCAGTCTATGCAAGAATAGCAGAATTAAAGTCTTGTACACTACTAATCATTTAAAACTACAATTAGTTTTTCTTTTCAGTTCTTCTTTCTCTTCCTTTTCTTTATTCTTTTAGCTGTTGAACTTCAAAAGATCGATTTTAGATTTAAGTAGGAATGGGAAAGATTTGTTTCCATTAATCTTCAAATTTCTATTAGTATCTTTAACTTGTACACCAAACCAAGACAAACACATGAGTCTTTTGGGACCCTACAGAAAATTATTGTTTAAGATTTGGATCGATTTATTATTTATCACCAACAAAATTTACTTGTGTTGAAGCCATCCAAGTATTGAATAATGCCCAATTATTATTTTTACTAAATTACAATCTTGCTTGAATGATTTATAAAGAATGGTTTGTGATGTTTCTACCACTCTTTTTTGTAAAGTAGACCTTAGGTTCAGTAATATGTATGGACAGGTTGCAGTGGTTTAACTAATAATATTGAATAGTATGACAAGCAAACCTCTTATATTAGTCATGGAGATAGTTGTATTTACCACATTGATGCAATTTTCTTGATTAGTGACAGCTCAATATTCATTACTATCATACCTTTTTGGAATGTCAGATCAATAATCTTGCAATGGGTATTATCTATACCCATTTAGCAATTTATTTTGTGATGTATTAAAATTGTATCATGTAATGTGTATGTCTCAATGTTCCATTTTTGCCATTATGCATTAGGTATACCTTTAGAAGTATTAATTTTGTTTGCTTCAACATTGAGACTAAGAAATTAGATAACTATCTGGTTGTCATAGATTCTTAGATTTTTGATGTTGTTAATTTACTACAGAATACTTTATTTGCGGCATTATTCAATTTCTTTTTTTATTCATAAAAATATCCTTTTGGATTAACTATGAAGGCTTGGCAGCACAGTCTTGTGCTAGTTCGACTCCTTTCTCCAAGACCAGTCCAATCAGTGTTAATAGGGAGTAGAGGTCCAACCCTTGGCCAGTTTCTTGAGGCATGCCACAGAGCTTGGTACTCTTTCCTTGGTACTCATTCCTTTTTAACATCCACATGAAGCCACTGGGAGAGATCATCCATCACCATGGTATCTGCAGTACACTGACAATACTCAACTTTGTATTTCCATCCCTGATGACCAGTGATGTTGTACTTGCCCACTTGCAATGCCTGGAGGCTGTGAGGACCTTCCATAAGGGTCTAAAGGCCTGGCTATGCCACTTTGCTTGGGCCCCAATGGGGGAGTATAATAGTAGAGGAGTAGAGTAGAGTAGATCAATTAACAATGGATCCCACCTCTGCCCAATCCTGCTTCTGCCCTTCCCATCTTATAACTGGGCCACTGTATTTGACTCTGTATAGTTTTTTATTTATGCTTTTATCTTTGTGCAGTTTATATTTTTTATTATTGTAAGTCGCCCACAGTTACCCTGAGGTAAGATGGGCACCAATAAATTTTATAATTAGTAAGTAATCAACTCTTTTTATTCAATTCATAAATATAATTAGTGAGAAAACTAATGAATAAAGCAAACAGATTTAAAATACTTTACATCCAAAGAATTAACCACAGGAACCTTAAATCTAACTTGATTTTCTTTAAAATATGATTGATAACCACAAATAGTCTTTATATAATGTTTATTATTTAGTATACAGGGCATATACTACATTGTTATTTCCCTTTTGTTTGTTATTATTTATTAGTTATGGGGCCTTTTTGCATCTTTCTATATTTTTATGGACTTTTTCAAGTTTGTGAAATACTAATAATCATAATGATAATCCTGTAATGATATCTGTAATACTATCAAATATCCACATCTGCCTATTCTAGATCCTTGGGAAGGATGCAGTTGGCAGACAAAATGCCAATTCAGTCTGAACATCTGTCTGACTATGCAATGGACAATAATATTTTTAAAAATAGTAACTAACTATTCTATTAATACTAGCAATAATAAGTCTGATAGATAATCTCTTAAATATACTCAGAGTTGGACTCTCAAAAACATGGGCAAGTCCCCTAATTTATGAGTGTGGCCAATGTTTATTAGATTTGGGTACCTCCTGGGCTGTCAAGGCTTCCCAAGAGTAAGTGGTGGCAATGGCCCCAATGACAAAAGAAGACAGTTGCTTTTGCCTCAGAGGGGCCAGTGATGTATTCAATCCTCAAGAAGCCATTGGTAGATCCAACAATTCTGGACAACTATCATCCCGTTTCCAGCATTCCCTTTCTATGGAAGACTGTTGAAAAGATGGCCAGACAACAGTTGTAGAGGGATATTAAAAGAAGCAAATGATCTAAACCTGTTTTAGTTATTTCAGGCCAGGATGCAATATGGTAGTATTTGTAGAAGCTGTCTGGTGGGATCATTTTTGGCCTGATTGCATCCAAGATAAAGAAGCCTTGTGCTTCTTTATCTCTCAGTGGCTTTCAATACAAAATCATAATGTTATTCTTCTGGAACATTTGTCATGTTTGGAGTTGGGGTACTGTATTAGTTTCCTCTTCTTCCTCTATGATCAATATCCAGTGTTGATAGGAAGAAAAGCCACACGTACACTCTCAGTTGTGAATTGCTTCAGAGCCCAATGAATTTCCTCTCCTGTTTAACGTCTATATGCAATTGCTGATAAGGTCATGTTATCGTAAGTATGCATATGAGAAAACATGGGCTCACTTCTGACATGACCAAGTGGCTGTCAGTGTTCTCTGTATCAAAGAACAATGTATTTTCATCTGTGATTGTGCATAGAGTTGCCATTCCCTGTTCAAGACTGGGATACTATCTGGGGTTGTTTTGGACTCACAGATCTTGCTCAAAGTGTTCATTTTGAAGCAGTGCTGAGTTCAACTAGTACCTTTTATACTGGTCATACTCAGCTTTTCACATTTCATATTAACTCAGCTGGAAACCAGTGTTGTGCTCCTGGATGGTATGCACAAAGCCTAGTGCTTTCCTTCTTCTACTTCAGGCTCACACGAAGCTCTTCTGCCACAGAGAAGGCTGCCTCATTCTAGTGGTTCCAAATGCCCTTCCTTCTCTCTTTCTCCTCCTCCTTACCCTACCCCAAACTGGAGTCTTATCTATGTCCCTAAGCTAGTTATCTGCCTTCTTTACCAAAGAAGCCTCTTTTTCCTGCATTCTACTCTCCCTCCCACTGCATGATCTTTAGCCTTTAGGGATTGGGCCAGGTTAAACTATAACCTGAAGCCAGATGATCTTGGAAGAATTTCCTATCTCTTCCTAAAACCTCTAACTTCCATTTCCAAGGTTTCTACTTCTTTCATCTTGCAGTCTAGCTATTTAAGTTAATAATCGTAATTTTTATTGTCTTATGTCAACTTCCCTGCAACCTAAGGATTAAGCAACTATTTTTCATTCAGACCAATTCCTTCCTCCTTTCTCCTCTCCATTTTTTATCACAGTGCAACTGGGTACAACTGGGTATCATGTTATCCTTGAAAAAGCCCTTATTTTTTCATATTTTTAAAATGTGTCATGTGGAATATTTAGTCCAGAAAATAAATATTTTGTTAATAAACTCAACACAGGAAAATCAATCAAATAAATTAAAATAGCACTTCCCCCATATATAGACAAGTGTATGGATTGGAAAGCAAAGTCAATTATCTAGGACACATACGTACCTTGAATGAGAATAAATCTCATTTTACCGTCATATTGAAGTAATATGCTTCAATATTAACTGTGTTCAGAAGTGTTCTTGTGTCAATTCCCCCAAAGTCTTTGATTGTATATTACTATATTCAGTTATAACTGATTATATGGATGACTTAAACAAAATAATATATTACTGTAGGTAAAGAGCTCTGGATTGATAGCCATTTAGTATTTATTTCTGATTAGATAATGGATTACATATACATATACATGTTCATTGGATAAAAATAAAGATTACATGCCAAAATACTCAAAAATTCCCAGTTAAAGCAGAACTTCTAGGCTTTTTAAAAATGATTTTACATCACTTTGGGTTTTATGGACACAAAAATATTTTTAATGGTGAAACTATACTTTAAAATTATTTCTAAAGATATATTTAAAGGTGCATGTTTGAAAAAGCTGTATCTGGGAAAAAAAGGTTAGCATTTTAACCTACATGTTCAAATTTTTTAAAAATGTAGTCTCTGTAAATTAGATGGAAGATACATGTGATTAAGTACAAGTGAAACGTAATACTGATACTGACTAGATTAAATCAAACCCAAATATGAGGTATGATACAGCAATGCCCCATAAAGCATTTGGTAAGTATTCTATGCTGAGTCAGCTGTGTAGAAGATAGTTATTTTTTAAAACACACACAGAAAGGGACACACGTACACCTATCTCCATAGACTCTCTATTATCTTTTACTGATATGTCTTTGGAAGCTGTGTTCAATTACCACCTTTCTTCTTTCCCAGACTGGTGGCTTCCAGATTGTTGATGCATCTGTTCCTATAATTCCTACCAGCATGTCCATCTTTTGGGATATTGCTACAGGTTTTCCATGGACACAGTTGGAAATATAAAGGATTTGTCCTTAAATGTAAATACAATTCTTCATAGTATATGTGTTTAAATCAGTTGGTTAAAATTAAGTAAGTACAGAAGGTAGTACGATATTTATTTATTTAATGTATATGTCATTCATATTGCTATTAAATGATTCTAAGTGGTTTACAGCATAATAAAAACAAAATATTAAACATTAAAATGATAAATGTTAACATTAAATTAAAAAAATAGTTAAGGAAGGAACCAATATATTATGGGGGTCTTTTTTTTTAATCCATTAACCATTTCCAGTATGGGACGCCCCCTTTCTGTGGAGACCAATCATGGGTAAAATCAACTATATTTTCCTTCAGACAAGGCCAGAAGAAGATATTATAAGGGATATTGAGAAATTGCTACAGGAGCCATCACTTAACAAACTGAGATAATTCTAACCAGAATTGCCTGCTTTCAATGACATCAGTTCTTCGGAGTGTCTGACAAATGCATTTTATATCATATTTGATCCATCCCTTTAGGTACTGTTGCTAGAGATTGAATCTTGGCTATGCTAGAATGCACATCTCAGCCTGGCTTGCACTTGAGCACACATTGTTTTGGAACTTGCTGATCATGACTTCTTGGATACTGTTAAAGTTGCAAGAACTTCAAGAACTGACATAATATAGTTGGCAATCACTAGTGAATAAAAAGTCATTTGGAAAGAAATGAATTTATACAGTATGGAAGGAGATTTATAAAATGATTCTAATGGAACTGGTCAAGCTAAGCAGCAGGAATAGCAATCACCTGCTGGTATGAAATTAGGTGAAAGAAACTTTATTAGAAATGCTGAGCTCTGGATTCTAAGAAGTTATAGAGGCACAGATTATGAAATATAAATCATTCCTTTATTATAAAAAAAAAAGCTTGCTTCATAAATATTGAGAACATCCTGAGGATAAATAAAAACCCTTTAACCAAAAGAACATTTTATCTTCAATTTTATAAATAGTGATTATTTAGGGAGGGGAAAGAAACCAACATAGGCTTGAATAATATGGGCACAATTGAAAGGACAAATTAGTTTTTAAAGAAAAAAGTGAATGAAATTAATTCGCCTTGAAAAGAATACAATGAATCATATACACCTCACTGAGCTTCTGGAAGATTTCCTAAACTGAAAAATACTAGCAATTTCCCTACTTTGACAAATTACTGTCAATCAGTTCCCCTCTGATGATTAATTCTATTCACTTGAAAAAGTCTCACAGAATATGATCTCAAAGGGATAGACAAAATCAAAAGTCCTGTAAAATGAAAGGAAATTTAACAATAGTGTCTAATCAACTGCATCAACTCGAGAAAAATGAAATGATAAAAGGGTACAATAAAATAACGTAAAAGTTCTTTCCATTCAGATTTCACAAATACTACTGAAAGTTCTCAGTGAAATCTTTTGACATGTTTATGTACATTATTAGTGGAGATCCCAGGCCTCCATAGGGTAGCAGTTCATATGCACTGAAGATCATGGAAAACTGTCTTTGCTTGTTTTTTTGTTTGATTTAGTTATTTAGTTAGTTTTATAGAATGCCCAATTTGCAACAACTCTGGGAAGCTTACAATTAAAAGTTTTTAAAAACAAAATAAAAATAACCTTGATCCTATCCAAAAGGGATCAACACCAACGTGCCGCAAAGCCTGGGAGAATAATTTCTTAAATGTCACCATAGTGGTCAGATAATTGATTCTATCCCAATCTTTTCAACATTGACTGACAAAAACTTTCCTTTCAGGAAGGAATCTTCCTAGTTAATTGAAGTTTCAGGGATAGAGAATTTTCTGCATAGAAACCCTGCACACTGCCACTGAGATACAGAATATCTTATTGTTGCTGTCAAAGTATTGGGCACTGCACAGTATAAGTAGAAATATATATTTCTGTAGAGAACAGAATTAAAGATGTAAAAAGAAAAGTAGAAAAATAATTTTGTTTTTGTCTTCTAGTTTCATGAATAATTTTAAGCCCAAGATAAATATTCTCTTTGCAAGGGAAGTATTGACAGGAAAATAAATAACTGTTACTGTCTCCATGGAAAATTGGAATAAAACTTAGAAAGGCTTTAAGACATATGGATTTGTTGCCTGCCAAAAATTAGAGCTATTGACTTCCAAAAATCCCAACCAGATGGCCAGTCAAGGATGCAGAATATAGTTCCGAGATATATAAAGTGCTACAAGTGTAACCAACTTGTTTTAAGAAAAAATACAATGTCAAGCTAACAATTCAATAAAGGAGAGAGATATTGTGTGGCCATTACACTGTGTGTGTGTGTGTGTGTGTACCCACCCATTTCCTGTCATTTCCTCCAAAAATCCCACACAGCAAAATACCTAGAACCCTCTCTTCAATCTAATAAATGTATAGAGTAAATGTGTGCTATAACAATTTTCAGAAACAAGATGCAGTTAATGAAGAAAAGAGTTCTGTTCTTTGATTGCATGCTGTCAAATAAGGTTCCATTTCATGTGAATGGGATTTTTCATGGAAGCCAGTTGCCTTGTGTAAAGGATTTTGGTGGGGAAAATGGGGAAAAAGACAGAGGCATGGGAAAGAAAGGGGGAAGAAAGAAGGGTGAAAAAAAAAAGAAAGACAAGAGAGTGGCACAGAAAAAAGAAAGAAAGAAATTCATTAGTGCTGTCCCCAGATACTCCCTCAGTCTTAACCTACTGTAATTCTGACCTGCTTACCTGTGGTATAAGCTCCTAATTCTAAAAGTTCTGCCCTAAGAAAAAAAGGTTTCTATTCCTGTCCTAAATTGTTTTCACAGTATAGCTTCTAATGATGCAGTAATCTAATCAAACCAATCCTTATTTTCTACAGAAGATAAAGAGACTCTCTATATAAACCAGAATTCTTAATCATATTTCTTAAGTATTTTTCATTCATGAATATGATGATTCAGTTATAGAGTGATATGTACCTCTTATCAGTTTTATCTGTAAGGGAAAAGAAGCAAAAATGCATACATACAGTATTCACTGTATATTCACACAACTGAAAACAACTGAAGTAATAACTTTTCCCAATGTTCCTTCAATATTGCTGTTATATTATTCCAGAATCTTCATTCTTTTGAAAACTACCAGCATTCTGTCCAAGGAAGCTTTTCTCTAAAGTATAAAAAAGTATAAAGTATAGAAATGAAATTATGGTACCTGAAGATTTATAAATGAGAACTTTTTTTGGTTTCTAATGTCAAATGCATGTAAAAAGGCAAACAGTGGGGTTTTTCAACTTAAGAGAAGAGATACAGTCATAGGAATCCAAACATTCAAAATAACACAGGAAAAAAATGGATGTGATTTAGCATCTTGCTTTCCTCATAGGCCAACATTACTCAATCTGGTAAAATAAGCTGCCTAGATGTCTATAATTTTATCAGAATGGGTTTTTTTTAATCAGCTCCTTCCTCTCATCATTCCTTCATAGTTCATGCAGAATCCAGGGAACGAATCACTTAGGTACAGAAGAGACTGGTGGGTGGTACTAGCTACCGACTCTGCCTGTTGCTATGGCAAATTGGCTGCTGGTGAATAAAATTCCAGCTCCCTTAGAGGCATTTCCACCACCACTTCTAGATTCATACTCTTTTAAGGAAAACCCTTCACATCCCCTGAATTGATTCTTGCAAGAATTCAGCCATTTAAGGATATGAATTTTCAGCAAAGACTTGGGTGATTATACACCATCTTCATTGAGTACAATTATGTGCCATGCCATTGTAAATCCATTTTGCAACTGATGAGTGAATACGAATAGTTGAAATCAATAAAGCTGGACTAATTTTCCATTAGAGTTGTCCAGAGTATCCTTCGGGGGATTCAGTTTAAGAAAGCTGGAGTTGAATCAGCCTTTCAATTTAACCCATGCATAAAACGTTTGGTTCTAAGGTTACTTCTTTAAAGGAGTACTATATAGATAATGATAATATGCACATGATTCAGGCTTTGTAAATAAAATGTGCAGCCTTATGCCACATAGTTTGTCAATTAATAAAAGCAAAAAATAGTAAAATAAAGCGTATAGTGCAGATTCAGGTTAAGTAGAGTAGCCTTGCATACCGCAGAAGCTGACTTACCACTCTTCATTGCCTCCTTCTGTCACAGGTGTCAGTATACTGTATATCACAGGAGAAGGCAATTGGGAGGGATCGTGGAAGTAGAAATATGACGGCTTCTTTAGAGCTGTCGTATTTCTGTTGTATTGAGATTGTAGGCACTTCCTGATGCACAAAGAGAGAGAGATACTTTTTAAAAAAGGAAAATATATTGTGAAAACAGACAGAAAATGCTTGGTGGAAAAAATTGATGTGATCATCCAGTCTTCTGTGACCTTCCTTTTTTTCCATCAGAGGGCAATAAAAGTGACACTGCAACTCAATGAAGGTATGGAGAAGTTACCATCCATACCCCCATTTGCAAGTAGCTTTGTGTGAGATCACTTAAATCAGAAGATAACTTTTGTTTCAGGTCTTTGTTCCATTGGGAATATGTGGAAAGCCACCGAGGGAAGGTTCTTAATTCAAGCCAGGTGAACAGAATTTCTAAGATTGGATAACAAACTAATCTCAGTTTGTTTAGTGAACTGTGAACTGTGAAAGTTGCAATAGCAGTAGTTTCAGAACAGGCCATAACTTTATATATCACCTTCAACTGAATGGCAGTGCTTCCCCCATATACTTCAGGCAGAAAATATTTGTGCTTACCTTCTGACACAGGGCTAAGCAGAACAGCTACATGTACCTTTTCTTTTCAAAATGTTTACTGGCATCAAGAATACAACAATTGGTATGACATCTATATGTAGGACAGAAAACTGACTCTCAAACTGCAAATGTATACCTTCAGCATAAAGTTTGTGTATGTAATTATGTATTTTTAATTGCTATTGTTGTTCTTTAATGTATCTTGAGCTCCACCTACTGGCCAAACACAAATCTCTATTTGTGACCCAGCCCTTTAAGAGTCATCTTCCCAGCATCTCGTATTCCAAAAACAAGTGCCTTCTGGGAAGCCAGACTCCATTTCTTTATCATTTGAAGGAAACAGAAGCACCAGGAAAAATCCAGCCTAATCCATGGCACATGTTCATCTGAGTGCAAAAATCCATATCCCATACACACAGCATTGCTAGTGAGATTTAGATTTATCTGTATTGTTAATTGTTATGTTCACCAGCAACTCAGCACTGCTTATTTTGTATTTGGGTTTTTGTTGGATATGTTTCTATTTTTCCCAGTTTTACCATCCTGTTCCTTTAATAAAGCAACCAGATCTATGTACTGTTTTATTGGTGGATAGGTGGGCTTAGCTACATGTCAAATTGCACCCAGAGTAACGTGTAGCAAGGACAGAATAGTGAAACAGCAGCTACCCAGCAAGAGGGATCCAGGATAATGACTATACAGAGGCCTTCTTCTGCCAATGCAGTTACCTGAATACAGCTATACAGCAGTCTCTACACAGTTGAGCACCTCCAGAAGACACCATGTCACAGAGCCAAACATCTTCATAAAGACAAGGTCTCAATCTTTAATTCTTCCAAACAGTCATCAGCAAGTAATGCACTTGCCACTGCCAGTTCAAAGGGTGAAGCAGCAAAAGCTGAGCAAGAACTGGAAATGAAAAGGAAATGAAAAAAGAGAGAGCACAGTTCGGGGCATCCCTGGAAATAGAGAGACTTACCATAGAGAAAGAAGTAGTAGCTGCCACAGCTGAAGTTAAAGCCCTAGAAAAAGTTGTATATTCTGACAACAAATACAGTAAATGCAGCAACGTGCTTGGGCCAGAAGCTTAAATTCAAGCTCCTCTGCAACACACTTCAGAGTATATCTATCAACATTCCAGGCCAAGCAGCAATGCTCACCTAGACAGAAAAGACAACCTGCCAGAAGCAAGCCAGAGATGCTACTCAGCACCACTACAAGCCAATGGCAAACCTCAAACCTACAAACAAGAGAGTTCCAAGCAAAGTTGATGACAACCCCCTCCCCTTCAACCAAGGTATCCGAGCCCACAAATTATCCCACAGGATCAGCCTTTGTGACAGAGCAGCATAGAAAGGACCAGCTGAAACCAGAGATTCTTAAAAGATACAATTACAGGACACCTTTTCACCACAGCAATGTGCAGTCAGCTAATTAAGCCACCATAGACTTTGCCAAGTTCCTTGCATGACATAAGTTAGTCACACAAGGACTTGAAAGGTTTAATGATCATCCTGAAAGCTCTAGAGCCTGGTGATCTTCTTTCCAAAATGCTATCAGAGGCTAAGATTTGTCATGCAGTGAAGAGATAAACGTAATAGTTAAATGGTGCGGACTTGAATCTGCTGAGCATGCAAAATGAATCAGGACAATAAATATAAACTACCCTGAAACAGGCCTTAAAATGATCTGAGACAGGCTTGATGAGTGTTGTGGCTCAGCAGAAGCAGTGGAAAATGCACTTGATTGCTTTCTCAAAATACCTAACAGAGCCTATCAGAAACTTAGGGAATTTAGTGACTTACTGATGGAACTTCAAATAGCTAACTCAGAAGGGGACTTGCAAGAACTTTCATTCTTTGAAAACAGCCAGAGGTATCAACTCCGTTGTATAAAAGTTACCCTAAAACGTACAAGAACAGTACACATGGCTACAATACAAAAGGAAGTACAATGTTCCATTTCCCCCCTTCTCTGTTTTTGTAGACTTCATGTGCCAACAAGCTAAAACAAGAAATGATCCTAGCTTCGACTTTATATTGTCATGTGATGCTCCTTCAGAATATAATCCTCGCAAGCCTTCAGTAGCAGTCCACAAAACTAACATGGCTACATGTTGCTCATCAGCACATCAGTTTGCCAAAGACTGTAAGGTCAGTGTAAAATGCAGAGAATGTGGCAGCACAAGCCACAACACAGCTTATATCCAGGCTTTACAACATACTTATAGTGCCAATGAGCTCCGCAAAGAGGAAGAACACACTGCTACAACCACAACAGAAATAATTCAAAATGCACAGAACTCAGTAAAGAGAATGTAGGCAGCAGGTTCTGATCCAAAATCTGTTTAGTCAGAATCTACCCAGCAAGTCAAAAGGACAAAACCATTAAAGCTTTATGCTATTCTAGATGATCAAAGTAACAGGTCTCTAGCCAGCTCAAACTTCTTTGGCATTAAAGGCCCCAGCACTCCCTATTCCTTAAAAACTTGTGGAATTGTGGAGATGGTGGGGAGAAGAGCATCTGGTTACCAAGTCGAGTCGGTAGATGGGAAAATGTGCCTGACTTTACCAACACTTATTGAATGCAACCAGATCCCTGACCATAGATCTGAAATCTCTACACCAGATGCAGCGATTCATCACACACATTTGAATCTCATAGTGCATCTGATACCAGAGCTTGATCCTCAGGCTCAAATAGTCTTGCTCCCAGGGAGACATACCTTATGAGTCCACAAAGCAAGAGCTCAGATCAGTGGTCCCTACAATGCTCTATACAGTCAGAAATTAGACCTAGGATGGGTCATTATAGGAGATGTCTGTTTAGGAAGCGTGCACAAACCAACTTCTGTTAGGAGCATGCTTATAAGCACATTAGAGAATGGACATCCTTCTGTTTTTCAGCCATGCTACAACCAATTTCTCTTAAAGGAATCACCACACATTACCCATTTGCCGTGTCCCTTCATAGGCTCCTTTAGTGACAACCTCATCTGTGACAGTGACCAAGATCATTTTAAGGTGCACAGTGTTTCAAAACACAAAAGATGACAATGTCTACCGAGGACAAACTCTTTTTTAGAAATGACAGAACTGGGATTAGTCAAAGGAGATACTGACAACTGGATTGCCCCTCTTCCCTCCGTATCACATAGGCGACACCTACCTAACAATAAAAAACAAGATATAGCAGGCTCCAGAGTTAACTATGCTATTCGTACCACAGCTCAAATGGTGCAGCAGCCTACAGCCACACCAGAAACATCAGCAAAGGTCAAAAAGCAATTGAACAAGTCTTCTGCAGAGCCTTTCATGGTATCTGCTCAAGAGGAACTTCCATTCAGTCAGCCACAGAAAGAGCCTAACATAAAGTATGAGACAAATACATCAGAGACTGGTACATCCTCAGAACAAATTGGTTTCCTCATTTCAGAAGTGGCTCCACTCAGCAAATACACCAAAGGTTCAGTTTCATCCATCCAAACCAAATGCAGAGAAAGAAAGAGCAGTTCACAGAAGAGCAAATCCAGTGATCTACATTTGCTAATGGACATGGCTTGCAAGCAAGAGCATTTTCTGAAGGAAGAATATTCAACATCTCATAGATCCCTAATGAATGGAAATTCATCCAACGCAGAATCTGAGGGCAACTCTACAGTAGCAGAAGCAGTGACATGCCAGCCTCAACACTAAGTCACTACCCAGATTCCTTCACACTTGACTCATATTCCATTGCCAGAAAACTGTGCTCTATATATCAGATGATCTCAGCAATTCTAAGGGAGAAGCTAGCAATGGGATCTGATATTCCAAATTTAGATTACTGTCAAGTTCCCAATCACATTGAAAACAACAGTTACATAACTCTATCAACAACCGTATCAACAAAAAGCAATGGCAGTTCACCTAATGTTTTCGTACAACTGTTTTGGGTTTATTCCTGGCATAGCAGCTAAATTCTTCCAGTAATGTGATGCAGGGAACAGCCCCTAATTGATATGATCCACTCAGTACCTGTCAGCAGCTAGAAGCTGATCTTTCCTGTGAAATCTTTTAGGGGATCCATACCTTATTCCTGCTGCCCATCTTCCATTTGTCCTTTGATAGGGACATGTCAGTGTTGGGGTTGTAGCATTCCATGTGACTACAACATGCCACCTTTCACTCTCAATGTACAAAGTTGAGAGCCCTTTTGCCACCACTAGCATCTGTCAGGAAAACCTTTAAACAGAGTGGAAAAATTCTCAAACAGCCTTATCTGATCTTTGTGTTGCACACCCATATGCTCTTGTACCCTCTACAGTACAAAGCCAAAAACATTTTCTGATGTTTCTGTCAAAGTAATAATTGCTGTTGCCTATTTAAAAACAATAGAACTAAGTTGTTCCTCAGACCAGTTTCTGAACTGATCTTGTTACTATCTGAGGACTTAAATAGTGGTATCCATTGATTCCAGGCAGGGAGTGTCATGCCTCCAGCAAAACGTTTGTGTGTGTCATTATTTTTATTGCTATTGTTGTTCTTTAATGGTCATCTTCTCATCATCCCTCATTCCAAAACCAAGTGCCTCCTGGGAAGCCAGATTTCCTGTAGAATTCGGAGAAACAGAAGTACTAGGATCCATGTCACATGTTCATTTGAGAGCAAAAATTCACATCCCATACACAGCATTGCTGGCGCAAGTTAGATTTATTTGTATTTGTTGTGGTTATGCTCACCAGCAACTCAACACTGTTTATTTTGTATTTGGGTTCTTATTGTATGTTTTTCTATTTTTCCCAGTTTCACCATCCTGTTCCTTTAATAAAGCATTCAGATCTATGCACAGAGTCTGTCTTATTGGAGGATAGGTGTGTTTAGCTACATGTCAAGATGCACACAGAGTAACATGTAGTGAGGACAACACACAACATAAATCACATGATGGAGAAGTGAATTTTAGAGCAATGAATACAGTTCCATGATAACTGAAAATGGTGCAAAAATAGCATCACGTCAGAATATAAATGTATAAACTCATGCATCAAAGTGATACTCACCACACAGATATATCCATGCTTTGCCCCCATGTTTAACTTACATCTGGGAAATAGGGAGGGGAAAGAGAAGGCTGCAGTGAGCAGTCAGCATAGACCACCTGATAAGACCTGTTATTTGAGGAAGTACCTGTCTCCCATAATATCTGCCTGGATGATTCAATCTTGCAGGCTTGGTCCACTCCAAATTCATTTAATTAGAACAATGTTCTATTGCAGGGGTGTCAAATTCAAGGCCCGGGGGCCAGATATGGCCCACGGGGTTCTTAGATCTGGCCCACAGGCCTGCCCTGTAAACAGCGAAGGACCGGCCCGTGGGGCCTCTGCCAGTGAAAAGGAGCTCCGAAGGGCCGCATGCAGCCCTCCCAAGATCCATTTTGAGTTGCAACAGCCTCCTGCAACTCTCTGCCAGTGAAAACAGAGCTTGGAGAGGCCACATGCAGCCCTCCGAAACTCCCTTTTCACTGGCAAAGGCTGCAGGAGGCTGTTGTGGCCGAAAATGGACCCTCGATCAGTGACATCGAGTTGGCCATGCCCCCCCTGGCCAGCCCCCCCTCCCAGCCCCTCAAGATCAAACACAACCCTGATGTGGCCCTCAATGAAATTGAGTTTGACACCCCTGTTCTATTAGGATCCTGGAAGTGCCCTCTGGAATAAGTTACCTTGAGATCTGAATGTCCCTCTACTCTACTGTTGTTTACAAGAGGTATGTAAAAAGCCGGCTCTTCACTCAGGCCTTTGAATGATGGAGAATGAGAGCTTGCTTCTTTCCATCCGGTCTGTCATGTTTGCCATCATTTATTGATGATGATTTATTGGTTTTGTTGTAATTTCTTTGTTTGTTATGAGCTGCTACAAGGGCATATAAATTTAATATATTATTTTAAATAATGTGAAAGATAACTAAGCAGCTCAAGAGAAGTAAACTAAGTGAGGCTTTCTCTAAAAGTGGCTTTTGCAGAATGGGGTGGCTTGGAGGAACCCATGAATTCATGCACTTGGTCTGGTACAGTGGGCAACCAACAAGTGGACTTGATGGGGAAAATTTATAGCAGCTGCCAAAACAGGAAACCACATCATCCTGTATTAGTCTTCCTCCCCCATCCCACCCCCATGAATGTTATCTTTTTCTCAGCCAGCTATTTCATTTGTAATTTCTTTTAGAAGTAAATGGAAATCTTCCATAAGTTTGCTGTTCCATGGCTAAAGGAGTTGCTACTCTCACTAGTAGAGAATGTGGGGAAACAGCCGAGAAGTTAGAAGTTGATTGGAGGTACTGTTCAAGGAGAGAGTGCATGCAATGCTTTGGTATTGCTACCTGCATTTAAAGGGCAGCACGTGGAGGAAACAGAGTCTTAATGTGTTTGTCGGGATTGTTCAGGAAGCTCAAGATTAGGAGAAGTAAAAATAAAAGTGGAAACAGATGGCTAGCTATCTTTGTAGCAAATCATTCTCCTCAGCTGGAACAGCAAAATGCAGCCCTTTTGAAGAAGCCAGTGAACACTAGAGACCATGCATGTTAGAGGCAGTTGTTTCTGCCTGCAATCACACATGTGAAAAAGCTTTATAAATAAATAATTTGCATTTGTTGTTCTCCTGATTCCCCACCACCAGTAGTGGGTTTCTACCAGTTTGCCCGGTTCGGGCAAACCAGTAGTGGTGGCAAGCTTCACCCACCCACCCGGATGTATCACGGACGCTCTGCGCATGCACAGAAGTGCACTCCCGGTTCCAAACCGGTAGTGAAGGTAAGAGGAACCCACTACTGCCCACCACCACCCATGATAGAGCCTTGGTGGTGCAGCAGACAAAGTGCTGTTATGTAGCACTTAGCTGCCAGCTGCCTGCAATTAGTGCAAGTTCAAATCTCACCAGGCTCAAGGTTGACTCAGCCTTCCATCCTTCCGAGGTAGGTAAATTGAGGACCGGATTGTGGGGGCAATAAGATGACTTTGTAGAAACACCGCTTATGGGGGGCCAAAAGCCCTAATAAGCAGGTATATACAAAAGAATGAAGGCTATTGCTATAAGTGCATTGTAAGCCACCTTGACTCTTCGGAGAAGGGCAGCATATAAATTAAACTAATAAATAAATAAATAAATAAATAAATAAATAAATAAATAAATAAATAAATCTTATTCTTTACAGATTTTGATATGTTATTTCTTCCTCTCTCTTCCCTGTTCTTCCTCTCCATTTCCATTGTTCAAGGTTTTTTTCTCATGGCTGAGTTAAAGTGCTGTCCTCTAGTCCTTGAACCACAGTAAATGTGATAATAGCTGTCTTGCCACAAACAAGTTGTCAGCAAACGCTTGTTTAAATTATACAGGGTACTGCTAAATTCCACTAGATTTATTTCCCTCCTCTGTCCTGCAAAACATCTCTAGCCAATGTGAAAATATCCACCATTCTGACTTTGAGCAAATGTTTTGCAGTGGTGAGTTTAAAAAGACCCCAATAAGTGCCATGAAGTCGGAAACAGAAATCCCATATCACTGCTGGTACTTCTGTTCAGCTGATTAGTCAAGAATCAACTTGGAGATCTGATTGGGGGGGGGGGAGTAAATTATCTGAAGGAACTAGACTCCTTTGCTATTGAATACACAATCTCCCTGGAGAATATTACCCAGGAATTGAGAGGAGGGGCATGACTGCACTAGCGTGAAGTGGCTTATAGGAACTGGATATAACCTACCCCCTAAGGTTACCTGATTGCACCATTAAGGGAGTTATCAATGAAGTAGGTCAGAGTATACCCAGATTGTTGGTTCATATTTGCTTCATATTTAAGAAGATAAACTGTACAGTTAGCCCTCAACTTACAAAAATTGTCCCAAAGGTGCTTTTTTCAGGAGGCAACTGGACTTTCTTGTTTTTTCTTTGAAGATGTTCTGCTTCTCATCCAAGAAGCTTTTTCAGCTCTGACAGTGGGGAATGGAAGATTTTATATTCCTTGCAGACAGCTGGTCATTTTCATTCTTTTAGAGGGCCGTTGAAACACTTGGAGGTTTATCTGTGTCCTCAGGGTCACCTGAGTGATGCTCCTGGTTCCTGTAGTCTGCAGTTTTTTCTCTGGAAATCCATTCCTACTCCCACACCATTCAAAGGGTGTTCATCCCTAATTGTATAGCCAAATGTCTGTAGATATTATCTTTCACAGAAAAAACAAGACAGTCCAGTTGCCTCCTGAAAAAAGCACCTTTGGGACATCCATGACCTGGATGATTGAGAATCCCTACAGACATTTGCAACAGTTGGTTTAGTGACCATTCAGTTACAATGGCGTTGAAAAAAGTGACTTATGACTGTTTTTCACACTTATGACCATTGCAGGATCCCCATGGTCAAGTGATCCAAATTCAGAAACATGGCAACTGACTCATATTTATGTTATTTATTGTGTTCCAGTGTCACGAGGTCACCTTTTATGATTTTCTGGCAAGCAAAATCGATGGAGAAGTCAGATTCACTTAACAACCATGTTACTAATTTAACAACTGCAGTGGTTCACTTAAGTGTGGCAAGAAAGGTTGTAAAATGGGGAAAATTCACTTAACAACTGTCTCACCAACATAAATTTTGGGCTCAATTTTGGTTGTAAATTGAGGACTACCTGTAATTTAAAAATGGAACATCTGAGGCTGATTATTAACTGAGTCATTGCTCATAGTCACCCATGTCTTAGTCACCTCCAATTCAGATTACTGCAATGTGATCTACATGGGGCTGCCCTTGAAGACCATTTGGAGCTGCAGCTGATCCAGAATGCAGTGACATGTCCAGCTTTGGATGTCCTGTGGTTCACAAATAACACCACTGCTATGTCAGCTGCACTGGCTTCCAGTTGCTTTCCAGGTGCAATTTAAGGTGTTGGTTATTACTTTTAAAGCCCTACATGACATAGGGTCAGGTTACTTGTAGAACCGCCTCTCCTGAGAGTATCTGCTCATCCTACTAGTTCATCATAGAATAGGTGTGCTCTGAGTCCCCTTTCTAAAATATTGCCATCTGATGGGACCTCATAGGTGTGCCTTTTCGGTGATTTTCCCAGTCTTCGGAATAGCTCCCCACTGCACTTTTAACCTTCTGGAAGGCTGTGAAAACTTGGCTCTTACCCCAAACATTAGGCTAGAATGAGACATTGAGTTGTGACAATCTTTGAGTTGTCACCTAGGGGGAAGGGTATGTTTTTAATTATGTTTTATGGAGAATTATGAGCTAACTAAAGTCATTCAATGAGATTGGTGGCCATATAAACTGTAAAGAAAAATTAAGTAAGTCATAGAATACAGACAAAAACCAGATTGCTGGGACATGTTTGTACTATGGTTTAAGAGAAAGCAAAGCAAGGGTCAAAGTCAAGTTTCTCAGTGAACCACTTTGCTTTCAGCTTTGCTTTCAGTCCAAAACAAAGTTTAAATAGCTGCATTTTTATATGTATCCATTGTTACCACTGTGTCTTTCATCCTTTCCCTTCTTTGTTGTATTTTGTTGTTATCCTTTCTCATGATAAAGAGAAGTGTCTGCCCTTTGAGATTACCTTTCAAATCATTTTACTGTGTCAAAAGCTAATCTAATAATAGCAATTATAATAATAATGTTAGCATGCACTAGCAAAAAAGATAAAGCTGACACCACTGCTATAACACCATTTCATTTCATTCTTGGCAACCATTCTATACCACATATTTCAAGTGTCACTCCACAGTGGCTGAAATCTCATTTTTCACTGTCAATTTCTGTCTTCTTGTGTTCAGTCTCGTTTGTGATTGTATTAATAGTCT